TGGCGGGGATCGCGCGAGACCCCGCTCCTCGGGAGCGTGCCTCGGAGCTCAGCCCCAGGCGCAGCGCAGCGCTGGAGCTTGCACCGCGGGGAGGGAAAGACTGGGTGACAGCTGTCAAGCGGCTCTGCGAGCTGCAGCAGAGGAAAGGTTCACCGGACCGGCAGCGTCGCTCCCACTCGCCCTGGGGAAGGCAGGCCTCCGCGGACCTCGACCTTTACCGTGCGTGACTGGTGACATGTACTCAGGGATTTGGAAAAGTCAGCTCAGAGAGCCATACAGATCTTCCAAATGATATACATTTCCCTGCACGATTTTTGGGTCACCTCATCAGAAAAGTGTTTTTGTTGTTGCTGCTGTTTGCTTTTTTTGACACAGGATCGCAGTAGCCCAGGCTGGCTTTGAACTAGCAGCAGTCCTGCCTCACCCTCCAGGGTACTGGAGTTACATTCATGAGCCCTGCTCTAGAAGTCTTTGAAGTGTTAGAAAGCTAGTAAACTCACAGTAGCAGATAGAAATTTCCCAAAATTCTCTTTTTCTCAAAAGGGCAAATTTTATCACTAGCAATAAATATTTTGGGTTTTTTTTGTTTTGTTTTGTTTTGTTTGAGACAGGGTCTCACTATGTAGTTGAGACTGACCTGGAACTCACTATGTAGTCCAGGCTGGTCTCAAACTCAAAGTGATCCTCCTGCCTCAGCCTCCCAGTGCTGGGATTACAGGCGTGCACCACCACGCCCGGCATTAGCAATAAATATTGTCGGTTTTCTTTGAAGTGACGAGCTCACTTCGTTTAAAAAAAACAAACGCACAAAAAAAATCTAAAGATCTATAATTGTCAGCTGCACTTTTAATTTAAAAATGAACTAGAGGGCCGGGGATTTAGCTCAGTGGTTCCGCCGCCTGCCTGCCTGCCTTGCAAGCATAAGAACCTGAGTTCGATCCCCAGTACCAAATAAATAAATAAATAAATATGAACTAGAAGCCAGGCATGGTGGCATACGCCTGTAATCCCAGCACTTGGGAAGCTGAAGTAGCACATTGCTGGGAGTTCGAGGCCAGCCTGAGCTACACAGTGAGTTCAAGACCAGCCTGAACTACAAACAACAATAAATAAAAAAACTAAAAACTGATGTTCTATGAAAAAAGAGCAGCCAGTTCAGCTTCCCATGGAAAGAATCCTTCAATTGCTTTTCCTTGGGACACTGTGGTGCTGCTTCACATGCAACAAAATCATTTGTTTTATGAACACTAACCCTTTTGGCACATAGCAAATGAAAAGCTGTGAATGCAAAGGTTAAGAGTTAACAACAAAAATAATTCGCACTGCTTTGTGAAGGTTTTTGCAGGTGAGACCGGCACAACTACATTGTTCTTACTGTGAATGCACATCAGTGAAGAACCTAACCACAGCAGTTTTGTTTCTGCCCCAAACTGCAGCAGTTTGGCCGCCTCAGTTTGAACGTCCCTCCCCCATACTTGCAGGAGTCTAACTGCCACGATACCCGTGTGAAGTGGGCAGCCTCGTGGGTGAGGACTGGGACTGCAGACAGGTCCTGTCCTTAGGCACACAGGGCCCTCAGACCACGGGGTGAAGCATCAGGGAGGTCAAATGCCGGCTCCACTGTCGGTCTCCCTGCCTCTGGAGCTGTGAGCCAAACAATGCTTTGGGTGTTCGGAACGTCCCAGTCTGTGGCCTTGTTAGGGTAACAGAAAGCATAGATACGTTGTTGTTTTTACATGTCAATAGCAAAACAAAAAGCAAATCATATCTTAGTAGTATGAAAATAGTTTTGTCTTTGTCACCCCTGTAGGCATCTTTAAGACCTCTAGTCCACACTTGGAAAACTACAGAAATTACCTGTGCCATCTGGAGCTTGGAATACAAAAGCAGAGAATAATGACACCACCCCAAAGGAGTAGAGCCTGAATGGGAGAGTGAGGCCGTGAACAAGTAATTGTATCTTGCTTAGTGCTATGAACAGGCAGGTGCTAAATTGGTAGATGCAAAAGAAGTAATCAAATATACAGCCATACATCCCCAAATTCTCTTTCAGTAGATCTTTGGTAGGGTCCAAAAATCTGTTTCTTGTTTTGTTTTAAGAATTCAGTTTAAAAGGACTTGGATGCAAGCAGTGGGGGATCTACACTTTGAGAAACACTACATTAAGCAGTAAAAATTTTAGGTTCCCCAAAAGACTGATAGGTAATTGAAGGTGAATAAGAGTATTTATGCCACCTCCCAAAATGCCAACAATTTTACTGGCCATTATTTGTAGTTGTATATAAATCTTTTCCATAAAAGACTTAAAGTTGCTTTTTAAGATTTAAAACGTGAAACAGTCTCTGCTCTTCTCCTTGGACTATTGCAATGCAGTAAGCAGCAAGCTTCTTCTATTAAAGCCAGATACATATTTTAGATTCTGTGGCTCTAGAGGTCTTTGCCATACCTGATCAGCTGTCCTGTCGCAGCACTACAGCAGCCAGGGACAGTAAGTAAATCTATGACAGCACTGTGCCAATAAAATTTTATTTGCACAAGCGAGAGTTTAAATTTGCTCTCAAGTGGTAAGTTTGTTGGCCACACCGTGGACCATAGGTAATGCTTGTGGTCAGTTAAGTGGCCTGAAAGCAAAGCATGAGTATAGGGATTTTATACCCAAAGATAGATTGTTAGGCATCCATTTTAATTCTCATTTATTTCTACAGTAAGATATACTTCACCTAATTCAATACGTATATGTTCAGCAGGTCATGGTGGCACACATCTATAATCCCAGCACTTATAAGACTGAGGCAGGAGGATCACCATGAGCTCAAGGCCAGCCCCAGGGCTACATGGTAAATTCAAGGCCAGCCTGAACTCCATAGCCAAACCCTGTCACAAACAAACAAAACGTGTCCCTATTTCAGTCAATACCCAAAGGTTCTGATTAACTAGAATATTTAATCAGAGGGATCCAAGAATCTAAATTTTACTCAACAATACACAGGCAGCTGGGCTTGGTGGCACACACCTGTGGTCCCAGACCTCCAGGGGGCTGAGGCAGGAGGAATGCAAGCTCAAGCCCAGCACTGTGGAAGAGTGAGGATCACAGGCATCTGCCACCACACTGGCTAAAATGTCAACCTTTTTAGGAAAAGACGAGATAATCTGTAAGGCTAGGGATAAGTAAGGAGCGCTTAAGAGATTTAACCCAAAAGCCCTATCCTTAAAAGAAAACCAGTGACAAACTGGACTTCATCAAAATATAAACTGGACTTTGTCAAACTGTAAAGCACCACTTAGTGAAGGACTGGAGAAGAAAAGCCGAGCTCCACACTGAGGTAAAGTGTGTGCAAATGACACATTCACACAGCGCATTAGTAGAAAACTCTCAAAGCTACACAGTGAGTAGAGAGGACAGAAAGCGGATCCTCCGTAAGAGGAACCAGGGCCACTTGGAGAAACACTTTGAGGACTAGAACATGAAATACACAGGATGAACCTGAGCACCTCATTGTGCCAAACAGTAAAGCAGGAGGACGAAAGTAAGCCCAGGTGATGATGAGAGTACAGCCCGCCCCGTGTATGTACACGCCCTCCACCCGCAGACTCATCCAACTGCAGAGAAAAAAATACAGCAAACAACAGAGAGCGCCCAACGGCCAAAAAATAATAATTTGAGCCACAAAATAAATACGGTAGTATTAGGTCATAATTCAAAGTGTAAAATAAATATCCGTGAGTCTATACACTTATATGTGCATACGTACATAGAAAAGATGTTTCCCTGGCAAGGACATTTTGGATAATTTATGTAAAGAGGATCCCACCTTCAAGGAAGTGGAGCATAACTTCCCAGCCCATGTGTGAGACTTCATATGGTGTCTTTTTCCAGCCTATGAACAGTGCCTGACATGGTTTGACTTATAATTTTCCAACTCTGCCATGGTAGGAA